TCTTGCCTTTGAAAATCAGACTGCAGACCTAGCTTGTGACAGTTATAACAAGGTGGTATATGACCTTTATCTGCTTCGGGGTCTACAAGTCAACACCTACCAGTTTTCTATCTCCTGGGCTCGTATTTTCCCGAATGGCCACAGAGGGAGCCAATCAGAGAAAGGGGCTCTCTACTATGAAAAACTGATAAATGCACTCATTGAAAATGGTATACAACCTGTTGCTACTCTCTACCACTGGGATCTGCCGCAGGCCCTCCAGGACAACGGCGGATGGAACAACACTTCCATTGTTGAAGCTTTCAAGGACTATGCTGACTTTTGCTTCTCCAGGTTCGGAGACAGGGTCAAGACCTGGAACACATTCAGCAGCCCTTGGGTGGTGAGCCATGCTGGGCATGGCACTGGTGAGCATGCCCCTGGAGTAAAAGATTATGCATTTTCTTCATATCAGGTAAAAGTCATCTTTGTAATGTTTGAGTTATAGACAAGTGTTTAATTGTTGCTCTGGGGCATTTAACTAACATTTTTTGCCTACTATTTTAGGTCACTCATAATATCCTCAAGTCCCATGCTGAGGCCTGGCATGTCTACAATGACAAGTACAGAAATACACAGGGTGGGAAAGTGGGCATTGCCTTAAATTCTGACTGGGCTATGCCCATGAATGAGACTAATCTCGAAGATGCAGCGGCTGCTGATCGCTACCTGCAGTTTATGCTGGGATGGTTTGCACATCCTATATTTGTGAATGGTGATTATCCTGCAGCACTTAAGACTCAGATCGAACAGAAAAAAAATGAGTGTCCCAGCTCTGTACCAGCAGTACTTCCAGTTTTCACTCCTGAAGAGAGCAAGAGGATACAGGGAACTGCAGATTTTTTTGGTTTAAACCATTATACATCCCGTTTGGTTAGCAGCACTGAAGGTGGATGCATCGCAGGGCCCTCAGGCGTGGGAGACTTCCAGGCTCATGTGGACCCCTCTTGGCCATCTACAGCATCTGACTGGATTTACTCCGTGCCTCAGGGACTTCGGCACCTTTTAAACTACATTTCAAAAGAATATTTGAATACTTTGAAAGTGCCTATATACATAACTGGGAATGGGATGCCAACAGTGGACAGTGGGGACACCCTTAATGACACCAGCAGAGTGGAGTACATGCGGGATTACATCAATGAAGCCCTGAAAGGTCAGTGTTTGTTATTATCATGATAAGTGACCAAAAAATGTAAAAAATCTAAATTAAATGCAATGTTCTATGTATCCCTTTCATAGCCATAACCATGGATGGAGTTGATGTGCAGAGATTTACAGTGCAGTCACTCATGGATGGGTTTGAGGGAAAACAAGGCTACAGCCAGAGATTTGGTCTTCACCACGTTAACTTTGAGGATGGAGGGAGACCAAGAACCCCAAAGCAATCTGCATACTTCTATGCTCAGGTTATCAAGCAAAATGGTTTTGGACCAAACAAACACAGCGATTTTCAAGGCTTAAAAATACCATTTACACGCCGCTCCACCACTCTTGCACCCTCCGAGGTTCCATCTAAATCAATGGTCGTTTGGGAAAAGTTCTCCCGCCAGTCAAAATTTGACCGACAAATGTATCACTATGGCACTTTTTCACAAGATTTCATCTGGGGAGTGTCATCCTCAGCATACCAGATAGAAGGAGGCTGGAATTCTGATGGAAAGGGACCCAGTGTTTGGGATAATTTTACTCAAATACCTGGTAATATTCCTGAAAATGCCAATGGAAATGTTGCTTGTGACAGTTATAACAGACTGGAGGAAGACTTTTACATGTTGCGAGCTCTCAGGGTGAAGTCATATCGATTCTCTTTGTCTTGGTCCAGGATCTTTCCTGATGGCCGTCGTTCTTCCCTGAACCAGAAAGGTGTCGACTATTACAATAGACTCATTGATGGCCTCTTAGCACATAATATCACCCCTATGGTGACACTTCACCACTGGGACCTCCCTCAAGCTTTGCAAGACATTGGTGGCTGGGACAATGTCGGCATGATTGACATCTTTAATGACTTTTGTGACTTCTGTTTTTCCACCTTTGGCAATAGAGTAAAATTCTGGATTACCTTTAATCAGCCTCAAACAATTGCATGGTTGGGCTATGGACTTGGGCAGATCCCTCCAAATGTTAGGGATCCAGGAACTGCACCTTACAAAGTTGCACACAACCTAATTAAAGCTCATGCTAAGGCCTACCACACTTATGACGACAAGTATCGTGCGTCCCAAGGTGGTCTAATATCCATTGCTCTCAATGCTGACTGGTATGAACCAAAAGATATCAATGTCCCCCGTGACGTTGTGGCTGCTGACCGTGCACTGCAGTTCCAGCTTGGTTGGTTTGCACACCCTATTTTCAAAAATGGTGACTATCCTGATGCAATGAAATGGCAAGTTGGTAATAAAAGTGAACTTCAAGGTCTTGCACAGTCAAGGCTTCCATCCTTCACGAACGAGGAAAAGAACTTCATCAAGGGAACCGCTGACCTGTTTTGCCTAAATCACTATACAACGAAGATAATTAGTCATATTACAGGTTTGCTTTCTCCCAAGTCCTATGAAAATGACTGGGACTTTTTAGAAGCAGAGGAGCGTGATTCACCAGTTACCGCCATCAAAAACCAAAGAGCTGTATCATGGGGCATGAGAAGACTCCTCAACTGGATCAAGGAGGAGTATGGAGATCCAAATATTTTTATAACTGACAATGGTGTAGCCACAGAGGGAAAAACCACTTGGGAAGACACTCCCAGGGTATTTTTTTACAAGACCTATATTGATGAGGTTCTAAAAGGTAAACTAATATAAATTGGATACATGTTCTTGTGCTTCAGGTCAGCCTTTATTATACTTTTTTTGTTTTTGTCATTGTCAACAGCTTATGAACTTGATGGAGTGAGGGTAAAAGGCTATATGGCAACCTCTCTCATGGATTGTTTTGAGTGGTTGCATGGCTACCAGGTTCAGTTTGGGCTGCACCATGTGGATTTTAACAACCCAAATCAGCCAAGAACACTCAAGTACTCAGCCTTTTTCTACTATCAAGTCATGAAGGAGAATGGTTTCCCCACACCGGATGATGATGAGATGCAATTTGGACATTTCCGAAAGGATTTCATTTGGAGTACTGCAACAGCTTCATACCAGGTAACTGTCTAGATTAAACAACCCTATCATCTCTGTGTCCTTTCATGTATGTTAATTTAATTCTATTTTTTTTTACAGATTGAAGGAGGATGGAGAGCGGATGGAAAAGGTCTCAGCATCTGGGACAAATTTGCTCACACTCCCCTTAAAGTGTTCAATGATGATAACGGGGACATAGCCTGTGACAGTTATAATAAAGTTGAGGAGGATGTTGCAATACTAAAACAACTTCAGGTGAATCATTATCGTTTCTCCATATCATGGGCAAGAGTGCTTCCTGATGGCACCACCAGTTACATCAATGAGGCTGGACTTGGCTACTACGTTAGACTGGTGGATGCACTGATTGCTGCAAATATCCAGCCACATGTAAGTGTAAAATTACATCTTCTGAAATGGAATTTACAGTTGATATATAGAAAGTTGAATCTGCAAATGTTTGCCTTTGTGTCAGATCACTCTGTACCACTGGGACCTTCCACTAGCACTACAGAAAATCGGAGGTTGGGAGAATGAAACAATTGTGGCCAGATTTAAGGATTATGCTGACCTAATATTTAGCCGTCTTGGTCACAAAGTTAAACTTTGGATAACCATTAATGAACCCTACAATATAGCAATGGTGGGCCACGGCTACGGAGTTGCTGCTCCTGGTATGTGCAGGCGATGTTCCAAAGTGTTCTAAAAAGTTGTCTTGACAATAAATTATTTTTAACCAAATATATGATTTCTGCCCATTTAGTTTTGAAAGTACTTACTTACAAGAATAGTGTTTAATAATGTATTTTGTGGCATGATTGTTTCCAGGAATTAGTTTCCGGCCTGGCACTTTACCATACATTGTGGGTCACAACCTTATTAAAGCTCATGCTGAGGCCTGGCACCTCTACAATGACAAGTACAGGGCTGAACAGAAAGGAAGGATCTCAATCACTATCAATTCTGACTGGTCAGAACCCAGAAACCCCCACAAGCAGGAGGACATTGATGCTGCGCGGCGTGTAGTGCAGGTATCCAGAATCCTCTCATCTTTTACACACCTTCCACTATTTTAACTAATCACTTTTCACTGTGTGTGTGTACACTGTGTGTAAGTTCTACATCGGCTGGTTTGCCCATCCTATATTTAATGGGGACTACAGCAGTGTGATGAAAACAATCATTCAGAAGCGCAGTCTTGCTGCTGGTTTGCCTAAATCCAGGTATTAATAATCATTAAATTTGTTAAACAGCAATATCAAGTGTTAAGTTTAGAGTTTTAATTGTCTGTGTATGTTGTCATCTTATAGTTAATGTTATATTAAATTTTGTTTTTTACTTTATCTTCTTCAATAACATAGCCCTTTGAATTTTGCAGACTACCTGAGTTTACCCCTGAGGAGATTAAAAGAATTAAGGGGACCTATGATTATTTTGGGTTCAACCATTATACCACTGTCCTGGCATTCCCTTCAAACTTTGGAAACCTTCAGCATTATGATGCAGATAGGTAAATAAGCGCCATTTATTTGATTGTCAACAATTGTATAGCGCTGAATACTTTTTCAAATATTGCCATGGCATTTACTGAAGACATATTCCCTGTTAGAAATGTGCAACTAAAAAGATTAACCTTAAAATCCTAATTATATGACCATAACAGGGGTGCAGGGACAGTTGTTGATCGCACCTGGCTGGACTCTGGTTCTGGTTGGTTGAAAGTAACACCTTTTGGATTCCGTAAAATACTGAACTTCATCAAGGAAGAGTATGGAAATCCCCCGATAATCATCACTGAGAACGGCGTCTCTGAACGGGGACTTGTTGATTTAAAGGATTCCCTCAGAAGTTACTTCTATGAGAAATATATCAACCAGGTGCTGAAAGGTATCGAAGCAATTTTACTCCATATACTGTATTTAAAACAAGAGCCACAATTATGTTAAAAGTACCACACGAAGGAGCAAAAAAAAGTGATAACTGAGTGTATTTTCATCTATAATGGAGAAATTCTGTTTTCTTAGCTTACTTGCTTGATGGTGTGGACATCCGGGGCTACACGGCTTGGTCACTGATGGACAATCTGGAGTGGGCCACAGGCTTTTCAGAAAGATTTGGACTTTTTTATGTCAATCGTTCAGATCCTAATCTGCCTCGAGTGGCCAAGAATTCTGTGTCCTTCTTCAAAAGCATCATAAACTGCAACGGATTCCCAGACCCAGCATTAGGACCTCATGAATGCTTGAGCCCAAGCCCCGAAGGTAAACCTATTCCTGTTTTCCCAGGTAGTAATCAGGTTATCTATTTTATTTAATTTTCTAAATATATATATCCTCATAAAACAAAGCAGTATCATCTTTAGAAAGTTGACATGGAGAAAAAAAATGTAATTTCCAAGAATTTCTTGAAAAAAAAGACATGGAAAGAACGCTTTAGCAGAATGAATTACACTGATAAAGTGAATGTTTTTTTTTCCAGCCACAACAACACAAGCAACAAGTACCAGCGCACAAACAACAAGTTCTTCAACTGCCAGTGTTGTGGAGTTCCTGGGTAGGAAACTCTCGGTCAGTGAAGCTGCAACTGGGCTTAATACCACATTTGCTCTTCTCATTGTTGCAGTGTTTGGCATTATAGGTTTATCTGTTTTGTTCTTTTTAAGAAAAAAAAATCACAACAATATAAAGATGACATGATTAAGCTTGAGAGGAAATTGTAATTGCAAATTGACATTAATAGATACATTAACATTTGAATGCACACTCCAATATTCTAAATTAAAAAAATTAACAGCTTTTTTGCTTTTCAAATATTGTTGGGGTATTCTTTTTTTAATTCAAAGTAACTTAAAGTAAGGAAATCACATTAAACATGTTTCTCTTTCTAAAATGATAAGAACTTCTATGCAATGTATTTTAGTTATTGTTATTGGTTTCACTTGCAGGACAATTAAATACTTACATCTCACCAAATACGATACAATTTTTTGTTTGCAGAAGTATTATACCTTAGGGATGTGTTAGCAAAGTATTGCTAATGTACTATACTTATGAAAATAAACTAGCATGAGGACAAGTGAGCTTCTCAATATATTATTACAAAGCAAAGTCCATGCTGAACAAGTGGTGTGATGAATAATGTTAAAGTATTGTAAAACATCTTTTGTGTCTTATTTGTATGTTTTAAAATAAAGACTTTGAAATTCCAATATTTCCTGCTCCAAGTGTATCAGTTAAAAGCTCTTTACTTTTTCCCAAATATGAACTCTAAGAAATCTCCATTACCTTAGAGAATTTTGTAGGAAAATACAAAAGAATAAATACAGGTAAACAAGAAACAATTATCACTGTACTCGTGCTGAGTGGTTTCTATTTGGTTTCTTTTTTTAACATTGTCAGAGTTGAGATATGTCTCACTTCCTCAGGAAGAATGTTCCAGATTTTATGCGCATAACACTGAAGCCTCACTTTGTTCTGTTCGGACTTTGGGCACCAGCAGGAGACAAATGAGCAGGTTCATATGGCTATAATGTGTAAGAGGTGTACCTTGGTGCTAGACCATGAAGAGACTTGTTCAAAAGCAGAGCTGTTTTAAAGTATATTCTCCTAGGGACAGGAAGCTGAAGCAGAGACCTGACCACTGGACTAATATGGTCATGTTTCCCAATTCTTGTCAGAACTTGAAAAGGTTAGATGTTCTGCAGCTGTTTAACAGTGTATTTTGAGCTGGATTGGATTGAGCTGTATTATAGATAGTAAATGCTGCTGATGTTATCGATTTAATATGGCTGTTAAAGTTCAAGTCTGACTCCAATATAATCCCCAGATTAGTTGGTACTTAAAACATTTTTAAAAATTGATGTATAAGAATTAAACGGATCAACATCAGAACAAGGGGTATTTTCAGACTTCCTTGAACACCTGCAGACCCAACAGCTGGTTTGCGAGTAACCAACAGATCAAAGAACACACAAAAATGATCACATAAAGCAACATTCACAACATCTACATTTGAAATAACAGCACCCTTTAAGATGATCATATCTCAAGTGTGCCCTCTGCTGTGTGTGGGCTTATTTACATGCTGAGTTAGAAGAAACATTTCAAGGACAGCAGTGAGTTCTTTATCACGCTTATCTTGGGCTACACTCATGTAAACATTCAAGTCCACTGTTTTATACCAAACGGTCAAAGTTGACTGAACTGAGTTACAACTGAAAGTAACTCAGGAAAATCATCAACAAAACAGTTCTGTAGTGGTTTGTAAATGGTCATATAACAAATGGAAGATTATTTCATCTCCATTTTGATTTACACATACTCAAATTATGGAAAATCTCTGAATGACAATTTGAGGGTGAATATACTGTCCCTGAATATGGCACAAACACACACGTTTTCATACCAATTTTTATAGTTTTACAAAGATTCATGCAAAATATTTTTGTTTTGGTTCTGTTCTCAATTAATCCAACAGATACTTTTAATGTCTTTGTGAACCCACATGACTATTGTGGCCGGTTTGCTAAAAAGTGGTTTTGTAAGTGTGGAGCTTCTAGTCAGCCTTGTGACATTTTTCTTTTGTTTTGTTGGCTTGTAATTTTGGGGTTATTGTTTTTTTTTAGTAAAACTGAATGATATAAGAATTAAATGACTGTATCTGTCTGAGTTTATGGTAAAGCTGAAAACAGATTGTTGATTTGGGGAATGATTTTCCATCCATCCATCCATCCATTCATCCATCCATCCATCCATCCATCCATATCTTCGTGTGAGTGATTTTGACTTCTTTCCTGTCAGTAGTGATCTTATGTTGATACTTTGTTGTTGGTCTTGTTTTTAGAGCATCTTTGCGTTTGTATTGAAGAATCTTTAGTGATACCGAGTCAGATATGTGCTTTTGGGTTCAGGTGGCCAAAAATTCTGTGTCTATTCAACTATTATAACCTGCAATGGATTCCCTGACCCCTCGTTGGGACCCAAAGACTGTTTGACACCTGAGCCTAAAGGTAAAAACTGATTAAGCAATGTTTGCATGCTTTTTTTAACAGAAAAAATATTCATTTTGGGAAAAGAATCGAGCTGTGACAAACAAAAGATCATTTAAGACTTTTTTTGTCAGTGTGGAAAAAAAGTAGATGCACTTTTATGTAAGAAAACCAGAGGAAGTAACTCGGTAACTCATTTCACTTCATTTTGACCACATTTGGTTATTTACACAGATTTGAGAAATTTAGAATATATAATTCCATGTGGAAAAAAATCAAACATTGAATATAAATGTATATATTAAATCTAAATGTGACACCCCATCGGTAAGTAGTCCCCCTCCATTTCAAGGGTATATGTTAAGCCAATTTTCACTTTTATTATAAACCCATTCAAAGTTTATAAAACTTCTGTGATGCCTGTGTTTTGTTCTGCAGCAACAAGTGCATCGGTTACAGAAGACTGTGAAATTCCTGGGTATGGAGCTCTCAGCCAGTGATGCAGAGACAGGACTTAACACCACATTTGCTCTGCTGATTATTGCAGTTTTTGGAGTTACATGTTTATCTGTTTGTTTATTTGTAAAGAAGAGGGATAAGCAATCATATGAACATTGACCTGAACAAGAAATATTAACTGTGAACACACTCAATGCAACATAAATCCCCTAATGACAGCTGCTTCTGTATAAATTCAGTGTAAATTTTAGACAAAACACATTTCAGCACGTACCATTGTTTTAGCTTGCTATAAATCTTTATTCCAGTTTCTGTCATATAATCTAGCTTTCTTATTACTGCCCTATTTAGATTATGAAACTTGATGACTTGCATGAAATTTGATTAGTGACAAAGCATGTGACAATAAAATCCCACACCATGTTTGTAGGAAATCTGATATGTTTATGAACAGAATTCCTGTCATTTCAAAATGTAGGACATCATTGTGCAGTCCTAGTTGTTTTTTGTTTCTGCAAGATTAAATACGAACATTTTTCAGAATCTGAAAGAGGCCTTGCCCCTGACACAAATTCCTCAATTGTACAAGATTATTCTGACAAAGCCCAACAATAGAAAAAGATTTTTTTTTCTTTTCTATAGAAGATTAACCGAGACAAAAAAAGGGCACATGGACTGTAATTGGTAGTAAAAATTTATTTTTAAAAACTAACCAAAGTACTATCAATACAAAAGTATAAAAAAAGTACAAAAGGCATTGGTCAAAAATAACTGAGATGGCAATATTTGAACTGGTAAAAATGGCACTGTGGCTATGACTGAATACAAAAGATCGCATTTTTAGAAAGCACCCAAGGTCTTGAATTCACATTGAAAAAAATGGAAACAGCTATATGCAACTGTCATTTAGCGTCTGGAACAGCAATCCCCAAAGATCAGCACTTTCAGGTGTTCAACTCCTCTACAAGTTATCATTACTCAACTTACAGATAGTTGGTCAATAAAATGTACCTTAAAAGAAAAAGGAGTAATAAGTTCAAATTATTTCATTTGGGAAAAAAATATAAAATACGTAACAAACTGTACCAAACCCTTCCAGAATGCACCAATCCAGTAATAGAAAAACATAACGGCCACAGAAACAAGAGCCTATAACAATACTTAAAATGGAAAAATAAAGAACAGCACATCTTCAAAAAATACATGACAATATTAAGAGTTAAATGGTTTTCAAGCATTACCCAGGTTCATTTGTTCCTTTGGATAAAGGCACCTCAAGTGTGTTCCAGTTTCCATCATGAGGCTGTATTGCAAAGCAGGTTTAAAGAGAGAGAGAGACCATCGACTGATGACCAGGCTTAACAAAACCTGACCTCCGAGATCATGCCAAGCATTGCAACACCAATAGTTGTTTACTCAGTATGTCTACCCGGGTTTCCCCAGTGGGGGGTAAATGTGGTATGAGAACCATATGATACACATATGGCCGTAGAGCAGCATATTCTTTGCTTAGAAAAAAAAAAATCCACACTAAAATGAAATAGAAAATGTATTCTTCATATAGACATGTAATCTAGGCTGAAAGTGACAGGAGCAGCCAACGAGAAAATCTTTAGTGGAATGCTATTTTTAAGGATGGAAAAAAGTCAAACATTGCTCACTGATCCACAAACCACACTTGGAAATCCCAGCCCCAGGTACCAGACTTGGGAAAGTTGACCAATACAGTTCCAACATCGACCAAAGAACAAAACAATTTTTTTTTTTTTTTAAAGTGACTTACAGGAAAAGCCCTCGTGTCATAGCAAACGCCTCAAGTCCTCGCATGTAAGACAAAATCTCCAGTAAATTGGTTTGATAAGAAATGCCTTGTTCATGACTTCACATATAAAGTAGAATAACTACAGTTACAATTTCATTTTCCTTACACAGCTGGCTTTACCTTATCTTGAAAAGAAAAAAAGAAAAAGTTCCAGTTTAAGTCAAAGGCAAATTTGAGATTCTCACAATGAACTTCCAAAAACATAAACACGTTGAAGTTTCAAATAAAATATTCATATAAAAAAATAAAAGGAAAAAAAAAAAACAGAAGAGTAGCTGCCCTGAGGGAGAGGTCCACATTAACCTTCACGATTCTTGTTGCATGACGGCATCTTGAAACCACTTCGGACAGGCCTCTCAATATTTCCTGTGACTTGATGGTCAACCACCTGGTCATAACACTGGAGGACTTGTGCTGTCTTCATCCATCTCAAGCAAATTCAAAATGTCCCACTCACGCATGCGGATCAACTCCCTCCCGTCCGCACTGACGACCCTATGCACGGAGACCTGAAAACAGATTTGGGTCATGATTCATTCTTTGATTGTAGCTCTAGTGGGAAGCCTAGAGTGTTTGTTTTTTTGTGAGAAATGACGAGAAGAATGTTAATACTTGCCTTTATCACAGGTACTGCTCTGCTTTTCCTGGGCAAAGTTTAGTCTGTTCTGCTCCACTGCGGTTCCGTTCGACTCCGGGCTGCTGCTGCGCGACGGGCTGCTCTCTTCATTCTGATAGGCCAAATCCAGATGCTGCTGGGCCAGTTTTAAGTGTCTGCGGAGCCTCTCCAGCTCCCGAGACGACGCCTCATCCCCAAAGGACTCTCGCCCCGAGTCTCCCAGGTTATCCCTGAAGCCCATTTTTCCTGATGGGTCCTTCTTCAGAGCTGTGTGGTAACCGGGAGGGGCCGAGGGCTGCCGGCAGATGGAAGACCTCTGACTGGTCATCGCGGGGTGACGGGGGGCTGGAGACCGAGGCCGTGGCGTACAAAGGCAGTCGCGTATACCGCTGAAGCCAAGGTGGAGAATCTCCAATACGGTAAAGAGCAGACACAAAGCACTGACGCCGTACATAATGAGCAGGAAAATCGTTTTCTCGGTGGGACGCGAGACGAAACAATCCACCGTGTGTGGGCACGGAGAGCGTGTGCATACGTACGATGGCGCCACCTCCAGCCCGTAGAGAACATACTGCCCAAATAAGAATGAAACTTCAAAAATGGCACGCGATAGCAGCTGAAAAATATAGACCTTCATCAGGCCATCTCTCTTGATACGACGGCGACCATCGTGCTTTTTGGAGGGCTTCTCTGCAACTTCCTTGTCCTTCTCTGGCTCAATCTCCTCCAAGATCATGGGATCTTCCTCTCCATTATCCTCTGCTTCTTCATAGTCCCTGTTGGCGCCACGACTCACAATGGGCATCTTCTTCCTGCTTCGGGGCCTATAATCATCATCGTCCATGCGGGCAATCTTGTGCATAGCAAACCCAAGGTACATAATGGTGGGTGTGGTAATCATGATCACCTGAAATACCCAGAATCGAATGTGCGACAGCGGCGCAAATGCATCGTAGCACACATTCTCGCAACCAGGTTGTTGTGTGTTGCATACAAATTTACTCTGTTCATCATAGTAGATCGATTCACCCCCAACCGCAGTTAGCACGATCCGAAAGACTATGAGGAAGGTGAGCCAGATTTTGCCCACAAAGGTGGAGTGATTGGAAATCTCATCCAGCAGGCGTGTGAGGAAGCTCCAGCTCATTTTGCCTTTGGTAAGGAGAAGCCACAAATCCTGTAAAGACAAACAAAAAAGGAATTCAGATACACCAAGTTTCTTCAACAGGGAAAGTTATTAATGGAACCAAGAGGAAAAAAGGTTAGATAACACAATCCCCATAGGTGATGTAGGACTCGTTGGGGAGTTATGGAATGTTTTATATAAATATGCAGGAATAGGTCATGTGGGAAGATTTATGAATCCACTGCAAAGCAGCCTGAAATCATCTACAGTTCAAATGAAATGCATTCAATCGTGTTTTTACACCGCAGGGGTGTCCAATTTGATCCTCGAGAGAAAAAGTGTCTGGCTTCACCACAGCCGATTATGATAAATGGATCTGCTCATAAAAATTTGTATACGCTGTACAAGTCAAAATGTGAATCGGTTGTGTTGTAGTTGTATAGTAACATTCCCCCTCAGTCTAGTTCTTACAGCAGGCAGCCACAAGATGGCGCTCGGCCATTACAAGAGAAAAATCCTCATCATCCCTTTTTTAAAATCAAGTTTGACAAGGAAATCCTTTTCACAGCACAACTTAAATGTAGGAAATATCCAGTTTTCTATTCAGTACCTTCACTCAGTTGTAACTACAAAAAGAAATGAGCTGCTCCAGATTAATAAAGTCACAAACACAGGTTGTTGAGGTGGTTTCACAGAACACATAACATTCATGAATGGCATCTGTTGAGTCATGATTCCTAGTTATGAAACTAGGAACTATTTATCAAACCCATGCTTCAGGCCAGCAAGTCTACACCTGTATGTCACAAATTTAAAACATGTTGTGTTCCATTTCAGTCTTTGACAGATATACAACAAATCATCTGATAGAATTATTTAAAGTGTGGAAGTGGCACCCACTTCATTTGAAATGGAGGTTATGCACATGCAGAATTTCATGCACTATACACCAAATCTGATGAATGATCAGTACTGCCAGCACCAAACACCACCCCTGCCTTCCACAAAAGTTGGTCTATTCAATAACATGTAGGCGTTTAATTTACTGTTAATCTGATTAACACCGTCTTTCATCCACCATCTGTGGTTTTTTCTGCAGCTTTACCTGCATATGCCTGCAACTGGCTCTATCACAGAGTTGGCCCAAAAAATAGAGATCATAATCATAACAAAAAACAGACATTTACAGGCTCATATCAAGCTCTTGTAGTTGCTTGTGCAATATCGTAGCTAGATTTAACAAACTACAAACTGCCAGTGACAACAAATGGGAGTTCAAAAACCACTTAACCACTTATTATCTTTCATTGTCGAAGCAACACTCATTTCTAAAAGTATATATTTTTTGGTCAAATATTGCTTGTCAAAAGTTAATTTAAAGAGCGCTTCTTAAAACAATCTGTGCTACTCTAAGGAGCAACATCTGCCAGAACAGATTTTCAACACCAGCAGGGTTTTGTCATCAACGCTGTGGCTGGTTTCACTTCACTTAGGGAATGGATAGACAGTATATCAAATTAAACATATGGCTCGGGTTTTTCTGTTATTTTTTAGTCACAAGAGGGCAACAAGGAGTGGAGATATCTAAAGCTATTATGTAAGCTGACACAGGCATGTCGAATGACTTGACTACAAGAGTTTGTACTTCTAGACCAACACTATTTCTACAGCACTTTATAGCTTTAAAAATAATTTAATCAGTTTTATGCTTAACAATCAAATTTTCCCACACTGCCCTAGGCAAAGCACCATGAGCCTACAAATAAAAAAAGAAAATTAATTTGCATTTGACAATGTCTAATGATAGATTTTTAATCTTGTCTTGTTTTCTCAAAAACTTGAAGGGTTGCGCAATGGCAGCTTGAATCATAAGCTCTATTTAAAGTACTCACCAGACATTCATTTGCAACCAAACTTGGACACCGGCTGGATTTCTGTTAACTTTGAAAACTAAGATGACCGCTGTATAAAAATGATGCAAATCCACTTGTTTATTAATAAAATCTGGACCTTGTTGTATATGAGGTTTAAAAAATGTTTATAGAAACTTTACACTGCTTGCAGAACTAGTCCTTCAAGCTGTATGGAATCGACTGAAATAACCCTGAACAGTATAGGTTGGATGTAAACTGCTATGGGCTGCAATTTCAATTCCACAAACTCATTCAGAAGGACCCCTGAATGCAGCACTTGACATTTAGCAGTCTGCTTCCAGGCAGTGGTTTCATCACCCGCAGCCATGCAGAACAGAGGGGCTTCTGTGGCTCTCCCATAATGGGAGACTGGTTATAGGTAGCCCTTGTGTATCCCAAAGCCCTTAAGCAGATGGGCCTTTAGCCCGAGGAGGGAACCCCCCGAAAAAATTAGACTGTGGAGTCGCTACTGGAAAGATAATTCAATCCGCCCATGATTTTCCAGCATACCAGCAAAGCACTTCATCTTATTGTGCTCTGAGGGAAGACTTCGAAGAAAAAAAAAACAGCGAACAATGCATTCATAAGAACTCTATCGTGTAATTGTGTCGTCTAGTTAGCTTAAACCACGTATATCAAAATGGAAAACTAATTTTAATTCCCACGACTGCGGGCTGAAAAAAAAGGGGAAAAAACTCCTCGTGGCAGACAGGACCCAACGTCACAGAGCCGCTCGCGAGCTTCACTCGTTAACATCAGAATCCAGCCGAAAAACAGCCACAACGTTTGTGACAAAATGGGGCTTAAACAACTCTGAGCTAAAAAAAAAAAATGTTCACGTTAAGACTGGAGTAAAGAAACGCAAAAAAACGTATAAAATGCTATCCCTGCGTGTTTCTTCATCACAGAGAAACATGCCAATATTGACCCCCCACTTACACCCATAGGCGACCTGTTTTGTCCGAACAAACATTTAAGTAATCCTTTCAGGTATTCCGACCAATTTTCGTGCTCCCACTGACGCTGCCTCCCACCAGCCTGTGCGCTTAAACTTAAACTGACGTTACCCCAGCGACTTCAATGACTCCACATTTTAGAATTTGACCAAACTAAAACTATTATACGGACATTCTACGTCGTCTTGGGGTGAAAAAGTTCAAACTCCCCAGCGTTATTTGTTAGCCGGAGCTAAAACCTGAAGCCGCGTCTCTGCGTGGCCACGCGTTCTTTTTTCTCTTTCTCGCTTTGTGGTATTACCTCCAATTATGATTGTAGGTCCTCTGTCTCCTGGAAATTGTCTTCAGATTTGAGAGCTTTTCTTTTCTCCTGTTTTAAGAAAATACTCGCTCTCGTGAAGCAAGGCATCCAGTTTTTCCTTTCTTGGCAGGAGACGGCCTCTCTCTCCAGTTGTGTGATTTGAAGTGTAGGCTGAAGACAAAGAATATTCCCAAATCCCTCGCTTTTCTCCTCCCAGTTTCAGGCTTGCACCCCACCCCCTGTCTGCGCAGACGACAAACTGCCAGCTAAGTAGTCCCCGTGATGCAGTATTTCCTTCCCTGGATAGGTAGCCTTTCCTTTCAAAGTCTGATAATGAAAAAGGGTTCGATTTAATTTGAGCTACAACCTGCTAATATGTTATCTGCACTTGCCCCATTGCTTTGACTTAAGGATCAGAAGCATCAGGCTGATCTCCCAACGTTTGTTTTGGGGGGTTGGGGGTCAATAAAGTGATAAAGACTGTCCCTCTTTCTACTGATCCAGATGTCCGGAAGTTGTTGCCAAGTGTTTTGTCACACTTTCCTTAGCAAAGGCAACTCATGGGTTTCCTGACCCCCCCCCCCCCCCCCCCCAAACCCCCACAAACACACTCTATCTCCTTCCAAGTTTCAACACTTTCAACTTATACTCCAGTGAACAATGTCCACATAAACAAACGAGCTTCCTTTAATTTTCAGGGCACTGAGTCATCAGTTTCTGGATTTATTCTTGGGTGACATTTTTACTTTATGTTTTATGATCTTATGATTGTAGAGCAGAATCTAATACAAAAATAATTAGACTTCCTCAGTGCTGAATTTTAAACCTGCTCATGTTGCACTTCAAGGTGATGTGAATAGAAACAGCCAGAGGTGAAATACTGCTGCCATCATAATCAGCATTCAGTTTGAATGATTGGTCTTCCTCGATGACTTGGAATGTCTTCATCGTGCGTGCGCTCATCATATATAGATTCTTCTAGACAAAGCACATTTATTTCCCATTCAGTCGTGTTGAGCTCCAGCTCATCGTTCTGATCTCTGGCAACTGGTGAATACCCACAAAAAAACAGCAGTTATTGGTTAATATCTGCTGCAAACAGGAGGTCAGTGGAGGAATGCGTTGCCCTTCCCCCTTCAGAGGGTGCAGCCAGAGCTCTATTGTAAACCACAAGCGTGCTTTTATTCATAGTGTAATATGGGGTGCCCTGGAAAACCACAATCCAAATGACAGAGAAAGATAACTGGAGGCGGAGTTGTGCAGCCTTGTGGCTCTGTCAGTCATTGAGCTGAATTTGGCTGTTTTTTTATAAGCGCATGTGGATTCATCATCACTGTTTCTTCTGAAAAGCTTAAGTACACATATTGAAGTCATCCTGTTGTCTTTATCATCTTTTTGAATCCATGGTTAATCTTCTTCTTTGAAGATTTTTTTGTGGTAACTTGAGTGTTGTAGTTTCCATTCTTTTTCCATTATGTAGTTTCCACGATGAAACAATTAGTTTTTCGAGGTAGCCTCCAACATAGAAAGCCAAGGGAAAAGCTCTTTGGCACTAAAATGTCTTTGGAAATACATATTATTGTAGACTGGTTTTTGACACAAAGTTAGACTTAACAGTGAACAGTTTTGTTATCACAGTGAAGTATTAGCATCTAGCAACTCTTCAAACCGGTCAAATATACTGTATACTTGCATAATACAGGAGTTTGCCTTCTCCCAAATTCAAATGTGCTTTATGTGAACCAGAATACAAGTCAATGTGGAGAAAGGAAAACCACAATCAGTATTGCGAAAGCAATTTTCCTTTGGGTCTGTTTTTGTTTTATGTAGCAAAATGGCTTTGTTAGGAAAAAATGATGGTGGTCTACTTACAGTCCCTGCACAGTTCTTACAGAGTGTCACTATGTGACAACTCGGAGCAACACTGATCTCTTTATGACTGACAAAAATTGAGACTACTCACATCCTGTGGCTTCAACAAAACTAAAAAGGCACTCTTGAAAACAACTGTGGCGAGCTTCAACCTCGAGTAGTCAAAGGAATGAAATAAGTGAACATAGAAGACACTCAGCAGCCATCTGTTGGATTTTCATTGTATTCATTGTCCTCTTAATGATAGTCAGTCTGGTGTTACCATGCTTGTTTGCCAGCTGTTGGTTTTTGTATTGTTTTTCTGAGTACTATTTTGGTGTATTACCACACGAACATATTTGATCTGAGCCTCACACATTTTGCAACATCATATCCAGTAAAGGAGGTAAAAGGTTTTTGCTCAAGAGTTATCCTCCTGTTTGCCTCACCACTTGACCCACAGCAAATCATCCCCATGTGATTTATTTACCACAAAGATACATCTGATGAGGGAGCCAGCATTAAACTTTCCTTGACAAAATATTCCATGTCTATAAAATTGAAAAATGAAAAGCAACAGATGCTCTTATGAATCAGTCTCAAACTCTTTCATCAGCTTTGAGGATGTTTTTTCCATCACTACAACTGTGCTGTGCAAAGCTTCTCTGATTCTCTAAATCAAGATAGCCTTTGTAGAGTTAACAAATCTGCAAATAAGTGCAAACCAAAAAGACATTGCAATCTAACTGGCGTCAGAAAGACTGAGGCATGCTCTTGCTGATTGTATTTTTTATTCACATTCTAGAAGCAGCTTCTATGCAAACATATTTGAGAACATGCACTAGGGCATAATAGTGTTAGCACAAGGGGAGCTTGGCAACTATCTAAGATGACTGAAAGAAATGTAGCCTAGTTTGTTTTACCAGAACTGCATAACATGAAATATAAACTCTAGAAGCCAGACTGATAGGTCCATATTGTGTGAGCATTCCTTCATATACATGCTCAACTAGACTCAGATGGAGTTAAAGTCTAAGTTCAGTAGCTTTTAAGTTTAGACCGTTTTTGTTTTTTTTATGTATTTAGCAGAGGCTATTATCCAAAGTGACTTACAACACACAATGTTACAATTGAGGTAGGCTCAGGGCAGCATGCAGGACCTAGCCTGGGAACCCTTACTGGATAGTTGCCCCGGTCAGGGTCTGAAACTTCTACCTGCAGTTCGAAGATGGTAGTTTTTACTGCTACACTCTACAGCTAGTATGGTATGGTATGGTATGGTATGGTATGGTATGGTATGGTATGGT